AAGTTATCGATGCCGGGAACTCGTAATTCAAAGGAAAAGAAACGTAACAACGCTCGTTCCGTGCATTAACACCGGGACTCTTAATTTATTAGCCGTATAAAATAAAGTCAGATCGATACGAGGCGCGAAATCTACGCGAGAAATATACGAGATCGTATCGCGTGCGCTCGCAAAACGAGAATTCGCGTGAGCGGTTCGTACGAGAGAGAGAGAGAGACAGAAAGAGAGGAGAGAGAACGTTCCTGCACACCCGATATCGACCTTTAACGTCGCCTTATCTGTTACCCGCGATTTAAACAGTGACCTAACGATTCAACTTCTTCGAAGCCCACACGGCTACGTGTTTAACGTCATTATCGAGTTTCGTCTTTGAATACGCGTGATAACTGCACGAGGAAATGAAAATTGGGATGTAAGGCTTAGCGAAGAGAGGCAATCACGACGTACATGATGAAAACGAATTACGAATGATCGACGAAGAATGATTGCGATTTCATATGAAGTTTCTTAAAAATTACCTCTTTTAGATGTTTAATTTACACTAATGAAAAATTCCTAATCTTTCTCCTCTACTTTTCAATACGTATCTTTCAATATCTCGAACGGTACACATTTCGGATTAAACGCATTATCCTTTCCTTAACTCGCGAATTACACGGGTGCAAAAACTCGTGGATAGAAGGGGAAGAGAATCGCATTAGCCACAATTCGTGGAAAGGCACGCAACAACAACGCAGAATCGCCTTCTTCTTCTTCGCGTGATTTCTATGCAGATGCGGCGAAAGCGCACGATGGCCGCCCCCTCGGCAAAATGAAAAAGGAAAGGTAGGGAAGGGGGTGGAAGCGTTGTTGGCCGGGACAAACGAAGAGCTCGGGGAAGAAGGGTTTAAAGGAGATAGCCGGTAAAGATCTTGGCGCAGGACAAGCGAATAATGTATAGCCTTGGTGGCGGTATCCGGCTGCGCCATCTCCGCTCTCTCCGCGCCGCTTTCGCGCGACAATCTTTTCTCACTTTGGCGAAGAAGCCATCTTTCAACTTATGGAAATTCTCTGGGATCCCAAACTTTCCAACTGCCGCTGTTGCTGATGTCGTTGCTAACGCGTTGCTACACGCGACCGGGAGGTATATATGTATCGAAACAGGAGGACGACGAACGACGAGGAGGAGGAGGAAGGGGGGACGACAAAGCCGTGTGTCGGGGCCGATCCTTCTTTTTCTTCTTTCGAATCTCTTTTACAGGGTTTAGACCGGTGACGTAACGATGTTGCAAAACGGGACATTTGTGTTCTTGAGGAAGTTTGCGCTTTTGGGTCCGATCGTTGAACCGTTTCTCGAATAAATAAAATATCACGTGCGAAGATTCGTCATCATCGCCTCGTCGTCTAATAGCCTTCTATAAAATATCGTTGAGAATGGATTTTAACGTGCATGCGAATTCCGCTGGCCAATCGTGCAATTAATTTAACGAGGAACACTATTGCGTAAACAACAATTAATTAATTGTCGATGCGTTAATTAATTGTCGTTTAAATAGTTTTGTTAATTTCTAGTATTAATTATTAATTAATTTTCGAGTGAACGATCGTTTCGATATTTATCAATAGACGATAGATAGATCGATTATATAAGTGATTCCTCCACTGATAAATCGAGATTTTTCGTAATTCGTTCGTAAAAGCAACGCAAATTTCCCCCTTTCATTTATTAAAACCAAAATGAACGATCTTCCTGCCAAGTAAGCAAGATCTTTTTACGCTTTAAAATCACGATATCTATCTGATTTTCCGTAATTTTTGCCAACACCGATTTCTCTTTTGCATTCAAAGCATTTTCGATGCGAAACGCCGCCGGTCACGGAAAAGCTGGATAAAGGTACGGAGTGGAAACAGATTGCGCGGAGGGAGAAATAAAAAAAAAAATTTGATATGAACGACGAGACCCTCGCGTTACCCATGCAACGCAGTGTGAACAAACATTAAAAAAAAAAAAAAAAAAAAGATGATAAAAAAAAAATATCTCTCTCTTTTGAATCGTTCTGAATTAATAGAACGTTGATACGAAGAAAAAGAGATATCAAAAAACGAAACTCCACTGGACGTCATTTCCATATATCGTTGGGGTGTATAATTTCTCGAACTTGAAATTAATATTTTCAAACACGTTAAAACATCGCACATCGCGTTTCTCTGTATTTTTCATTCAGAGCAAGATGGCGAACGAAAATCTCGTTCCCTTTTATAAAAGCGATATATCTCTCCCTTTTATGCACGTTGCCACACATGTGTATCATCACGTAACCGTCAAGATTATAGCATAAAAAACGAACCGGTGCGCCTTTTATTTCTCATCATTTCCGCGTAATATTTTTTTTTATCGCGAATCCACCACCAGCTTCGTATAAATAGAGGTCGAGGAGGATGATATCTTCGCTCGAGATTTACAGACATCCGTGATATCGCGACGAGTGGAAGGACTTTTCACCGACCAATGGACCCCGTGAAAAGAGTTTCATTCAAACTTTTCTTATTTTCGACTACGGATCCGCTACACGACAATGCTCTTAAATTCTCGGTCTTGCTTGGATATGGCCATTATACTTGGGGCGTTTTATAAGAACCGTTTGACCGGTAACCGTGGAAATTAGGTCATTCGTGCTACGTCTTCGTCTTCGACGAATATCGAGAGGTGTGTAAATTTCGCACGACGAAGGTTCATTACGAAGTTTCGTAAAAGTTTTATAGGAGCGTCGTAGAGATTGTATTATAAAAATTGTCGAGTATCGCGGTTTATGAAATATAGAGGGAACTTGATTAACCGGTTTAATAATAGAACTAATCAAACTCGTAAAAATACTTTTTTGTGTTTCCTGTTTTTTTTTTTTTCTAACCTTTATAAAAATATGCGAATATACTTTCGGCCGATTCGACTATTAAAATAAATCATTTCGTTTTATAAAAGTCAAGTGCTAATCATAATTTTGGCAATAGAAATTTTATGATTAGTATCGCTTTATAGAAACGAAAGAATAAGTCTTAATTTTTTTTATATATAATTTATTTTATAAAAATAAAATGAACTTTATACATACCACGATAGACGATATTTTAACAATATAATTACAGTCAAACAAATCTATTCGCATATTTCATTTTATTAATTTTGCACTTGCGAATGCTCTGTCACGCGATCGTTCGTGTCCTACGATTCTATTTGTATTATTTTACGAAAGGAACTCTTGTTAATCGAGATCATTGATAATCATGATTCGGTTAATCAAAATCCTACAGTTGTAAATTAAAATAGGATGTTGTATATTTAAGCAAGATCGATAAGATTGTAAAATTAATCGTGTTATTAATTGTAAAATTAATATGTTATCTCTAAATCTATGAATTATCGCGAAAATTGCATCAATTTCCAAGAATTCACGAAGCTATAATGAAAATTTAAAAGTTTGCAAATTTATCTACACGTTATTCGAAATACGTATTCGGCCACGAGATGAATCGAGTTCCCGGAATTCGGAATCACAGTTTTTAAAAGTTTTCTCGACTGTTACGAAATTTCGTTCTGGTCACGCGGTTCACACAAAGCGAAACGGACTATTTTCCACGGTATCAAGATAAACATTCGCGAGCGCAGTTGTTGCTTAGAAGAGCTTGATTGTGGAAATTCGAATTGCAAAAAACGGGAGAATATTGCCGGAACGTCGAACTGGGTTCTATATTGCGTACGCAACCGAAAACTGTATATACACGCAAGTTAAGCGTTCGAATTCGTGAATATTAAATTTTGAGAAAACATTCAAACTCTTAGAATTACGAGAAATCTTTTCGAAATTGAAAAATTAAATATATGAAAATTCATGAATATTCGAATACGAATGATTTTAAAATAGCAAATTATAGGTTAACATATAACATAAATGTGTTTTCAATTATTTTGTTAAAATAAAGAAATGAAAAATAAAATAATATGCATATTATTTTGAATGTAGTAAAAATATTCTTGAGTTAATATAAGTTTCATTCTTCCGTCTCTTTTTCACTCTTCATTTCAATTTACCAACCGCGATCGAATTGAAATTTTGTAACATATTTTCTAATTATACAATATTGATCTTTTAAAAAGACGAAAACAATGTATGTTCGCGAAAAGAAATACACGGACGAGACGTAGAAGAATGTTGACGGACATAAATATTGAACGTGTAAGCCGATAAAACAGACTGACAAGTTGACGAGAGTGAATGAGATCGATCTTTTTTGATTTCGTGGCTCTACGATCGAACGAAACGAATTAAATATTCGTACTTTCGTTATTTTTATTACAACCGATGATAATAATAAAAAATAAGGAAAAACGAACGAAACATATTAGAATAATTATATTTTATCAAATTTTTATGTTTGTCTTTTTACTAATAAATATCTTGAAAAAGATATTTATTATCTAAAAAGAAATACAATATTAACTTATTTTCTATGTAATCGTAACTTTAAAACATGATTTGATCACAAATTGTTACTCGATCGATTCCAATCTTTTACGTACGTATCACGATAAAACGACTTTCTCGATAATCTACATAAGGCAGCCATCTTTTCCTCTTTTACGACTTTTTTTGGCGCGTAAATGTCGCTCACTCGATGTGTGATAGCATCTATGGTCAAAGCTTCAGACGATCAAGCAAAGAGCATAGATAAAAGGGAACGCGAGAAGATACGATTGACTATCTCTAAAGGGTTTTCTATTCCGAAGCAAACAGTATAAAGCATTGCATTCGAAACGTAAGTGGACGACCGATCGACATCGATGTTGTCAAAGAGATTTTTCTGCAAAGATCTCTCGAACTATTTCTACAGTGTATCGATCTTATCGGCCGCGGGACTGAGTAAAGTTAGGCACAAGTGTGCCCAGTTGACACAAAAAACGAAGCAAAGATGGAAGCGAAGAAAGGAAGATAGAAAGAATCGAAAAAGAAATGGATAAAACTTACCATTCGGTGAACGAAGTACTCTGAAGTTGCTGCCAGTTTTAATAGTCGAGCTCCTCGAGAGAAGTACAAGTGGCAGGAAGAATCTTAGCAAGGTATCTTGACCGGTAAAAAAAAGGATAAAAAAAGGCTTCTTCTCTTCTTTTTCACTTTTCGCCTTGTTTACACACTTCTGTCACTCTCACTCACTAAATCACGAACGAGAAACCGTTTGAGTGTGGTCCGAATTTCACCGTTTATCCGACTGTAACGCGAATGTAACGCGATCAACGACAAACTGCGCACAATAACCGTAAGAGCACAACAAACGTTCAGTTTTAAAGTTTACACTAAATTGCCCGCAGGGAAAGTTTTTCTTTCACTGTTCCAAGAAAGCCTTCGTTTTTTGTTTGTTTATTATCTGCGTATTCGCGTAACGGTCTCGTAAATACGTCCAGACACGACAGTTTTGTGTACGCTGTCACGGTTATATTAGTTTATCGGTAGGGATCAGCTACACTTATGACTCACGTTGTACAATTTCGTCACACGCGATTAACTTCACTGTAGTTCCAACGATATGTTCGCATGCTTCGAAAATTTCGTTCACCAAGAAAATATCACTCTTCTCTCTTCGAAAATAACACGTTGATAGCGAACACGTTGCTCTCCGTGTTAAACTGTACGAAAATCGAGTCGAAAATTGTCGAGCCACCGTCCGATAACTAACGTACGAAATATAATACGAAACGACGCGCGAGTCGACCGTACGGTACGGCGCTCGCCTGTAAACTAAACACCCGTCGCGACCTGAGGCCGGGACCCGACTGCTAGGGAATCTCCCCACTCCTCGCCACTCTTCTCGCGCGACCCTAGGCACACCAACCCCTTGTCCAGCTTTCTCTCTCTCTCTCTCTCTCTCTCTCTTTACCTCCCTCGCACCTCTTTCACTCTCATACCCCCTCGTCGTCCTTTTGCCCTTACTCTCACCCTACCACGCTTCATTTCTTTTTCTCTCTCCCTCCATCCATCCTTTTCCTCACTATTCCACGTTCCAACTGCCTAACGCCGACCCTTCACGTACGACCGAACGACCACCCGTTTTTCCCGTATATACCCTCGTACCTCTTCCTCAATACTTCTTTCTTCATCTTTCTCGCATTCTCTCGCTCTTGCACTCGGTCTCTCTCTCTCTCTCTTTTTCTTTCCTTCTTCCCCTCCTCCCACGCTGCATCTTTCTTTCCCGTCCCGCGTTCTCACTTTTTCCCGACACCGCGTCTTAGCTCCACTCTTTTCCAAGGACTTTCCGGATCTCGTTCCCGTCAGTCGCCGCTCTTTCAGAAATATTTCGGCGCTGATACAATCCGCCGCGCATGTACACGCGATTCGACTCGACTCAGGGTCCGCTTTTCCAACGAGCGGCCAATCCCCGTGGCACATGCCCGCCACTTTCCAGTCCTTCCATTCTTCTAAGATCTGAAAAAGAATGGTGGTGAAGAGGTGGTAGATGGTGGAGCAGGAAACCGGAGGGCGAGACAAAAAGGAAATGGTGGAGTAGGATAGATCTTTTTATCATAGCTCGCGAAGGATGGATTTGGAAGCAGGCAAGTGCTGCAACCCGGCGAGTGTTGTTTCGATTTCTTTGTGTTTCGATGGGATCGATGGCTTGCATAGGATGTTCGTAGGATTCGAATATCGTGCGAAACCTCCTCCTCGAAATCGTTTCGTTCCGTTTAAAACTCGGTAATGAAATAGGTGAAGGGGGTCGGGCAGGAAATCACGGCGCGCCGATTAAAAATAACGCGAAATTTCGCGAATCACGAAGACACTTTTTATCTCGAAACAGTGCCCGTACGAGTGGTGCATGGCCGCGTTTGAAAAGTAATTAACGTTTGACAAAACTGTGTTTCAATTTGTACCGCTGCCCGTTTTAAGTCTGTGTTAAATTGCGATACGATTAAATTCGACGGTGGAAATAAAGTTCGCTTAATTCGTTATACATTACCTTAACATTCGTACTTTTTTTTTTTTACTTATTTTTTTTTTCCTCTTCCTTTTTTTTCTTTTTCTTTTTTCTTTTTTTAAACATTGCAACTAGCGAAATATTTTCACTCAGAGACATTTATAATATTCGTCAAATGTTTACACGTCTCCTTAAGTCTCGTCGGCGCGTAATATAAAATAACTTCTCGTTTCACCGAGCATCGTTGTGATCAAAGATAAAACAGTGTTCTCGTTGGGCGGAAGCGAAAAGTTACACGAGAGAGAGAAAAAAAGGGGGAGTTATCCTGTAAAAATGTTTCGACAACACGTAGATTTAAGGATGGAACACAAAAAACGATGGTATTTTCACCATCCTGTCGGAATATTAAATTTCGACGATGAATCAGAACGTACGAATTCGATAAAAATGTTTCGCGAATTCCTTTCGAAGTTAAATAAAATCTGCCTCTCCGTAAATACAATGGATGCAATGGGCATTCAAGCTTCCAACAACATTCCCAATACGCTTATGTATGTTTAGAAAACAACGCATGGAACTGCAAACGATAACGATGTTTCTGTATTTCTTTCTTAAAGAAATTTCGATATATATATATATATATATATATTACAGACAATTCTTTGTTAAAAAAGAAAAGAAAAATTTCGATATTTCTTAAAAGAATTTCTCTCTTAAAAAAAAAATTCTTCTAATATTTACAAAATATTCAATACAAGATCAAGATAATTTATTTTCTATCAATTTTCTTTTCTTTTCTTTTCTTTTTTTTTTTTTTTTTTTTTTTTTTTTTAATAAAAGAAAAAAAATGGAACGAAACGTTTGATATCCTCGATTCGAAAATAAGAATGGGCGTCGAGTAATTCAATGAGATATTCATTGTCAACCGGCAATGAGCTCAATTATTTCGTGCACGGCTAACTTTACGCTTTTCAACAGGATATATTCTTTTAATACAGCCGAGGACGAATATAATTACATCCCTGGGAGCCACTTCGCCGTGGAACTTGCTATTTCCACAGCGCAAATGAGCTTTTATCCTCCCCGCGAAGCGCAATTCCACCTTAATCCGTGTCTCGTTCAAATTTGAATATCGCAAAACGTAACAAGTTCTTTTGTCGGGCCCCCACCGTGTATTAGATTCGCATCAGAAAATGTGTAGCCAGCAATTTAACAGGGACGTAACCGTAACCGTCGTTTTCGGTGATCCTTCTCCCCCTTCCCCCGTTTCAAATGTAGCACACGGCAAACGCATAAACTTAATGCGCGCATCGGGTTGGTTTAGTTCTCATGCTTCCGTGAGGTTTCGCTAATCTTCACCGTGATACCCGCATCACACGAGCCAGGCAATTAACTGGCTGAATATGTATGCAGATCCGTTTATTTCGAGACGAGATAGTTGTTGTAAGAATAAATCTGAATCGCGCGCTCATGATTGCACGCGTTCTTGCGAGGTAACACATCTGTTAAATATATACGTTGCTTTCCTTTTTTTAATCATTTATTTCGTCGGAAAATAATATTATCGATGATTGATTGTTTCGAATAGAAAATTATTGTTACTTTTTATTATTTATACATTCACTGTGACAGTTTCGTTAAATTATTTCGTCGGAAAAAAATTATCGTTGTCGCTTTCAAACGCATTGTTATCTTTATCATTAATTTTAATATCGAGTTATATCAAGATTCATCGAGATTCGTATTTATTTAACTTTATATAATAAATACATTTATTTGGGTGGACGTTTATTATTACATATACACTCTTTTCCGTGATTATTATTTTAATTATTTTTAAAAGCTGGATATAATAAATTTTTTATGGGACGTTTTTCTTAAAAGTTTCAAATTTTTTTAAAAAAAAATCTTCTGTCAAAAATATATTAATATCGAGTGAAATTTAAAAAAAGAAAGAACATTGTTAGCTGTTGTTTCGCAGAATATTCGTACGTTCTCCGACAAAATAGCATTTGTCGTTTGCTTCAGGCGTCTCTTGAACGAACCAAGTTTCATGCTTCCGTGAGCGGAAAAGGAAGCACATAAAATTTAATTCTATCCCCTAGGTTAAACGTAGTCCCTCTCGAAAATTAGATTTTTTAATGAAAGTTCATTCGCTCTTGAACCCTTAATCCTTAGTAGCCAAGGATTAAATTCCTGTCTGACTCGGTGGGGCTACTTACGCTTTCCCAAAGCCTTCGAAACAATTTACGATATGAAAGTCAATATAATATAGGGTGTACGCTTCTCCATATCGAAAATTTGTCGTTAAACCAAATTACAATTACGTGGTAGATATAGAACGCAGTAGAACGGGAGAGGGGGAGGAGGAGGCGGGGGAAGGAAGGGGGAGAAGTAATTAACGTTCAATTCGCCGTGTAATATGACGATAATAATTGGTCGCAATTTATTATACGGGACCTATAAATTAAAAATTGAAATTACGCCACAATTGTGAATTCCATTTGATGTGTCACCCACTAATGCACCGGAAATTCGTAATATACGGAGACAGAGAGGTCATCATTCGGAATGAACACGTTGTATTAAATTTTTAATCAGACCATAACAAATTAAATTCAGTGTGTCATAATAGTATGATATAATTATGATTCGGCTAATTAATCATGCATGTTTGGTATAGGGAGCCGATTATTTGCAACTAATTAAAATAAGAATAATAATAAAACGCCGATTAATTATTCGTATCGTGAATACTACGAGAAGATACCAATTTTATTGCATACATATATATATATATATCTCGAAAATTTGTCATATCTCGGTCGAGGTCGGAAAACGTGATGTATATAGCTCTATTAGAAAGGAAATTATTTTGCTAACGACCGTTCAGTGTCAAGCATTAAATCATCCTATTGCCGAGGAAAAGCAATTTAGACGAGGTACAATATTTTGAAGTCCTCGAGGAAACTCGGAAATCCCATTTCAACGGCAATGAGCTCGTTCAACGGCTCGTGTATTAACGAATAAATTGCGAATGACGTATTGCCAGTAAAGTAATTCCATGGAATTTATCTGTTTACGACGCCTGACACAATGGCCTATGCTGTACCGAACCAAATTGCTCCTCTGCTCCTTCCTTCCTTCCTTCCTTCGTTCCTTGTTTCCTTGCCTCCTTGGACCTTGAATCCTCGAAACCTTACGCACGTGTCGATGATCGTAAATTCTTTTCTACTTATTGTTATATAAATTCTTCTACTTTCGCTTTCACTGTGTGACAGTAGGATTACGAGAAGGCGTTGTCGGGCATCGTAAAACCAAAGCAATAATCGTAATTCACGTCTGTTCCATAACTCGTGATTTATGGAGGACTTTAAGGATTTTCATAAACCACAAATAGGTATCGGTGCATCAACCGGTTGGGATCACGCGTGCCAAGTTTTGAATATAATAAGATTGGAATCCGGTTCTATCGCGGCGAGAAATAATTCCCGTATGAAATACGACACCTTCCTGAGTCTTCGATTATAACTTAATCAACATTCTTTCTATACCGAATATTTAATTACGTAAGATAAAGTTCGAGAGTTGATGAACATCTTCGATATATAATTTTTAAACAAATCGATCCACATTAAAATATGAATATG